CTGAAAGATTACAGTGGAGACATTCACTATCAGCTCATCAGCTTTCACATGAGAAGGCTAATGGGCTGTCATAAAGAAGATGTGGGAAAACGCGTGGGATCTCAGCAAGTGCAAGGGATGAGCATGGTGCTCAAGGATGTCCGTTCGTTGCACTACGGGCTCCACCTGGGTGGGAATCTGGGTCTAATCCGACACCAAAGGCCTCTTTCAGACTCAGTTTCCTTATGTGTTAGGTCCTTTTCTTTTTGTTTCATGGCTTTTTTTTTGTACGGAAGTGGCTAGCTTCTAACTTCACCCATAGGATCATTCCCTATGTAGAATTTGCTATGATGGTGCGCGGTGTGGTCGTAGTGATGCTTAGCCGACGTAGCCAATGCGCTGTTAATGTACGGATGTTGCCGTTCATTGAATGGGCCGAGATCGCTTTTAGCTTGTGATAGAGAATCGGGCTAAGAAGCTCATGCTAAAGATCCAGTATTCCAGGAGAGAAGCGGTGTACACGCGTGTCGTCTGGCGGCACTCCGTGGCCGGTGTGCTGTCTCTTTCGTTCGTTCACTCAGCCACCGATTCCTTTCACCTATTCGCGAATCATACCTGACGTGACTGTCGAAAGCCGCCCCCCGTTTTGCCGATAACTCCGACGAGATCGCTTATATCCGTCTGGATGCAGCATCTCGTCAACACCATGGAACCTCTACATGAATACGAAAATGTTGAAGACTATCCACGGAAGAGAATCAAAGCTTGGGTGAGTCTCCTTAACTGTGGAGCTATTAGACTTTTTCTTTAATTTTTTTTCCTCTAGAAAATTCTTTTTATCTTTGAGATTTCGGTGCTGAAGTAAGCTTCTATCGTGGTGAGGTTATTCAGTGTATTCCCTAGGATCGCACCAACATGGAATCGAACCTGGTTCAGGCCCCCTCCCGCATTGCCTCCTATGCACCTCATAATTGTGGCGTGAAGTATTTGAGCTCTAAATCAACCACTTTTATCAAACTGTTGTACAGATTAACAATGCATCTAATTTTGCATTCTCTCCTTGTCGAAAAAGATTGCGAGGCCGGCCCGGGGATTGATGGAGACCGCTACTTTGTGCACTTTGTCATTCTTGCTCAGCTGAATTTCTTTCACATGCCCAGTTGGCTACAATTTTTAAAATGATTGATGGCACAGATCATAAATCTGGAGCTAGAATGTGAGGTCATCTTAGTAACGGGAGCTACCACTATCTTCCCTTGTGAATTTCAGAGTATGAGTATGGTCTCTAACTGAGGAAGCGACCTTTGCATGGATTACGCTCGAGCGTCGGTTGTATAAAGATTTCTAAAATATCCACCTTATGAGTTCGATATAGGCTTCATATACCTTACATCGGATGAATGACGCCAATTTTACTTTTTTGCCAGGCCAAAGTGTCTAAGTTTTCAATATATTATGCTGGACATTTGGATACTTTATTGTTAAATAAGGTAAAAAGGACGGCGCGATCCTGGTGAGATGACTTTCAATTTGACTTTTTGATCCCGTTCAGAATCTCCCTAGAGCCAGCAACCGAAGTGATAGCAGACCTGAATAGCGGCTCGAGAGGTTTTCCTGTTTTTGCTATAGAATGGCGTTTTCGTATTCTCAGACTTTTCGGGGGCTCACTAGTATATCCATACGGAACGAGTTGTCTGCTTGATAGCCATCGTTCCGGCGAAACATCCATCAAAAGGCAAACACATCTGTTGATTACCGTCAACGGGAAATCAAATAGTCATAATTGCGGTGTTCTTCCTCAAATATCAATTACATTTATTTGAAAAATGTTTGCTTTTGTGATTGCCCTCTGTCAGAGCCGTCTAAGTAAACCGTTTTGCAAATAGGCACAGAGGTGGTACTGTAGTACATATTTCCGGGAAAGGGTATGAGCGTAGAGGTGGGAACGTAGAATATCTAGAGTATGGTAAGGATTCTGACAGTCTGATAAACTTGGTTTCTGGTTAGAGTGAAGAAACAAAGAGGGATTCAGCCTAATAAGTGTGGGTAGACATGCTCACATATGGGGTCATAGAAGCTTGAACTCTCTCACACAGAGTAGGACAGTTATTTAGGACAGGATAGTTTGCCTTTCAACCGTCGAGACAAGGGCTAAGTCGTTGTAATCCAAATCCTATGACAAAGAATCGAGTCAGTAACAGCCTCTACATGGAGTTAAGGTAGTGGCAAAGCGAAGCTACACAGCATTAAAGCCCCTGCGATTACGCCACAGCACAGTTCATCATAAAAATGGCTCATGAGATACCCTCTTTTTTAAACTTTTGGCCCCCTTGTTTACCATATGGCACCCTCTTTTTTGAACTTTTGGCCCCCTTGTTTACCATATGGCGCTGTCAGGTCGGAAAAAGTCTCAGTTAGGGTTTTATAGAGGCTAAAGGGTTGCACCGTGTGTATTCTCGGACGAGTTACACAGGCACTGTAGAGGCTGTACCAATCATGAGGGAACCCATGTAGGACAACAACTGAAATCTCGTCCAAATACCTCTTCCATGTTATTTCCTTCATGATAATCTCGTCCAACCTCTTTTTCCGCTATTTTTGAGGAGCCATATTTTTCACGAATTCTGTAAACTCTTGTTTTCTTCACTACCGAGGAACCATTCCCAACCTATACTTCCGCTTTTCGAATAAAAACAAGTGCATCAAAGTTATCGTGAACTGTGCCTTTAATATCAACCCACTCTATAATCCAATAGATAACCCTATTTATTACCCAGTAAATAAACCCAATTACTAACCCTCAACAAGCAACACATCAGACTTACCGTCCACTTTTCACAATGTTCACTTCCTCGTGCAAACGCTTCGTACCTTTGGAAACGGCGGAGCAAATCTTCTCAAACAATTAACATGAGCCTTCAAGAACTGTAGAATACGGCTCTTTGATCGCCACAAACGGGGTAGCCGTTCATTTTGATAGAAAAGCGTTAAAAGTACCCCATTTATCTTTGTCAAATCTACTCGTACGTTAGTTATCATCATGTCATGTAATTATGGCCTGTTATCATAGTAATTATAGCTATTTGCGAGTAGAGGGTTGTGACGAGCGTAAGGCTCAAAACCACGAATTACCAACGGCGTAGGCGGTCTAAAGGGAAGCTAAAAGTCATATTAGTACTGATCATTGTTATCCAATGCGCCCAAAGATTCGTCTGACGACATGCATCAGCTGCGGATTGCAGGTAAACTCTTGTCTGTTCTTTGCTTCAAGAAACGATGGAGCGAGTCGATGAGTCTGTCCGGGATGCGCCACGCATTTGACTTTCATTCAGAAATGTCGAGGCGTTTGGATGAATCCTCCAACCTTCTCGGTGATAGCACGGACCACTCACTCAGGATATTTTGACTTACCTTACATCGCTTCGCAGACACTTTTGCGTTGAATGTTTGCGGGGAAGCGTATCGATGTGACGGAAAAGTATCGAAAAAGTGTGACTCCCCCCCCCCCCCCCCCTCCCCCCAAATTGGGTTTAGAGGAGTGGGAGTGCAGACTGGACTGCATGCGATATTTGGGCATTTTTGGGCATTCTTGAATACCTGTAAGTAAGTGCTGCGGGAGTGTGTTTCGGGTTTTTCTTCTACCTCTATACTATCTTAAAATATTCACTTTAATGTTGTATTCACGTTTGTTCCATACATTTCGATAGGTTCGCTAGTTAATGCTCTCTTGGATGCTGTGAGAGCAATTTCAATGATTCATGATCTCTCTCAATATAAATTTATTGATAAGTTTTGATCCCATCTTTCCTAGCCACCTGTAGAGCCGTCCGAAATCAATGGCGAGTTTCCAGTTTTTGATATTCTCAACTTTTTACACAGTTGCTTGTTTTTCAAACTAGTTAGTATCGTTAGAAACGGAATGTCCAAGCAGGAGCGTTCTTTTATATTTTTCCTTTTTTTATTTTTTCGTGAAATTCTTGCGAATTCCTAAAAAGTAAATTTTAAACTCATCTTGTATCGTAATTGTGCAATGACTAAAACTCTATGTAATTTTGATTTGCAAGTAACAACACCATTTCAAATGGCCACCCTTCCCTCCTCAGGTTTTGGTGGGGTAGGAGGCAGTTGAGAGAGAAAAGAGTTGAAGGGTTCTCACTTTTCTTACTTTTTTCTCCTTTTTTTTTTTGAAGAACTTTAAGGGCGTGGGAAGGCTCATATGGTATTTACACTACTATTTCCAAGGGAAGCTTGTCATCAAATTATTCGGAATTATTCAAGTTTTTCGACTTCTAGCTGCTTTGTCGGACTAGATTATACAAACTGTTCGACACAGCAAGTTGGAGATAAAATACCGCAAAAGTGCGGGTACCCAAGGGGATCTTGACGGGCTCTTTGATATGCTCAGGACACTTTTTACATTGAAGTTCCTTTTTCGCTTGGTCCTCCATCTCTCACCTCAATTATCAAAGGCACCGTTTACGATAGAAAAGGTTTCTGATATTTCTTGTGGGTATGAACTTGTAACCCCTAAAGATAGCTTTAGGGACGCTTCAGATCGGATAGGGTTAGATAGGCATAGTAAGGATCCCAAAACCAGCTTGGCTGACATACACACCCAAGGTGGACGAATTCTAACGACGTTGTAGAGACTGTATGGGTTGTACCATTCGCAGAAGGTTGTACATGTTGCACGAAGACAGGTTACTTTAGCCAGCTGTTCACAATGACAAACACAAATGGACAGCTCGTCCAAATACCCCTTGCAACTTTTGTGGTCCCATTCTTGCCCGACTCCTAACTTTGCTACTTTTGAAACCCTTGTAGTTCTACATTTGCGCCAATTTTTGTGTTTACTTTATGCCCCTTTGCGTTACTATAGACTACGATTTTCATCAATCATCTAGAACTTGATACTCCAAAATTACCGTGATTTATGCTTTCAAGTATTTAGTTCTTGCAGTTAGAACCATATTTTTTTCAAGTTTATTTTTGTATTGTTCTGAATTCCGACTATTCAGCATTATTCGACCGGAGCCACGAATGTCACCTATCAGCAACACAAGACTGGTCGCGAGGAGCGAGCCGCCGTACTTGGAAAACATGACGGATTTCGTGGATGTACGATTTGGTTTACTGGACTGTCCGGAGCCGGAAAGACGACAATTGCGTTCGCTGTTGAGAAAATCCTAACACAGGTTAGTTCTCTGTGACAAGTAGACGAACAAAAATGTTAAGTCTCTTCGGAGGGGATGCAAATAAGTAGGACTTGCTCAAAAAGTTTTCAGCTGGAGTGACGTTATGTGACGTTGGCCGGCAAAGACAGCTCGTAAGGGTGTGGGAAGCGATTAACGGAAGAATGACGTTGCTCCAACCTTTAAAGATGGGAGGCCCTTTGAATTAATCTGTTTGCGTAGTATAAGGGGAAACAATTCATATTATAATTGTCTCGGACCCCTCTCGACCACTTCCATGTTTGGCAAGAGTGGAACCTTACCGAAAGGTGCAGTTCCAGCTAATTTCGGGGTAGCTAGTTTGAGACGAGTGTAATGGAAACGATGGTCCAGAATAGCGCAAAGAGCTATCCATATGCAAGTAGAGAATATATTGCTTCAAAAAAGTGGTAAAATTAGGGGTTGGACGAGAATGTGACAACAGCAGTTGCACGGAAGGAGTTTTTGGACGAGTCGCTCGAATATGTACGCCATTGCATATAGTAGCAGGCTAACCTACTAGTATGCAACGAGTGTGTCTCGGTGGAAGTGTTGCATTTCATTCATACCCGACAACGCCTTGATAACTCGTTCCCTTTGGGAGAGTACAGAGTAGAGTTACAGAGTTAAAGCGTGTAGAGCATTTATGGAGGCGTCTACGAGTTGATGGGACCACCCAGCTTAGAACCATTTTGGGTCCACTTACGAGTAGACTCCGACGATAATAGAATAGCGGGAAGGAATAGCGTCCAAAATAGGGGAACCAAATGAAAAACCTTCTCAATGGAGTCAACAATATTTGAACTGTGGTGACGAAAGTATTAACTTGGTGGGCAATCTTACTCCGGTACATGTCCTTTTTCTCAAAATGGACTGAACCAGTTTGGAATCAAGATCTCTTCAACTCCCAGTTGAGCGCAGCTTTTTTATTATTGACTCTTTGCTCTTCTGTTGGAACAGAGGATGGTTATGGTGATTTTATGCGCATAAATAAATCTGCCAAAAAAAGTCCCCAGAACAGGGTTCATGCCGTCCGCATTACGGTATATGGAACCTTCATAATGGTGTTTTAGGGATTGGAATCGCATTGAATTGAAATCACTTGTATTAGGTTTATTTTACAGCTTAATAATGAAGCAAACCTGTGGATCATGAAGAGAATATGAAAAATTCTTCATTGTAGATGGGTATACCATGCTGTGGCCTAGACGGTGACAATGTACGTCATGGCTTGTGTAAAAATCTCGGCTTCTCCAAAGAGGAAAGAAGTGAAAATATACGCAGGTGATTCTTTTTTTAATTAATCATATCTGAAATACAATACCAAGACCTTTTGATGCTATTCAGCCCTATTTTTTGGAAGTGCCCCACGTTCGACTTTTATTCAAAATCGCGATGGCTGTTTTGATGCGTTTGTGACCTAAACAATGACATGAATGTACAATCCAGCCCTTTCAACCTCCTAGACAAGTCTACTACCAGTTAGATGATCCTGAGGGATGGAAGGGTTAATTTACCTGGGCGTGTATCGATCTGAAATCCGATCCTCGGACCATTCATGTGGACCTGCCTCTAAACCACCTCTATCCGTCACATTGGATCAGATGAAAAAACTTTTCTGAAGCTTTGCCCCAGATATTTAGCATTGCCAACGGGACGATTCGGGATTTTTGAATGGGATCTTCCCAAACAATCTGGTCGATCACGAGAAGACGAGCTAGGACTATGTTCGATTCTCCCAGCGTTTGCGATAGAACGTCCTTTGCTAGCTATGCCTTGAGGATTGGAAAGCTGTTTTGATCGATCGAATGATTAAATATTCAACATTTTGATGGTTTATTGATCGCATTTGGACAATTGGTCAGAGGCCCGGTGCAGTAGGATCGAAATTGTCGCGTCGCTGCGAGAGACGTCGCGCGCGAAGGAATCTAGCGGGATGCAGCAGCAAGTAAGAAATGCAGGAACCAAAGAATTAACATTAGAATCAGATCAAAAATAGTAATCGCATGTTGACTGAGCTGTATGAAGAACGCTAGAACTGTAATAACGAAGCGAATGGTCCGCGACTGCCGTGCGCGGCGAATCGATTACATGATCCTACTGCCCGACTCCTCTTGGTCAGCACTGTATGTCCTTGTACGTTTTATACGAAGAAGATAAGTCAGCAGTATTGGAGCGGCCTGTTGTGGAAATGCATCTTCTTGACATTCCAACATTGCGTGGTTATTCTTAATCGTTCGGGATGGCCTTTTTCCAACAGCTATCAATGCTTCAATAACCTTTTGTAAAACGTTTGTCAAATTTGTCAATCATATGTCATTTCAAGGGTTGCGGAGGTATCGAAACTCTTTGCCGATCAGGGTCTTGTATGCTTGGCATCGTTCATTTCGCCATTCCGTGTTGATCGAGAGGAAGCTAGAAGGATACACGAAAAGGTAAGGCTTTGATGGTAATTAGAGGCGAAGGACTACTGTACTAGTACTACTACTTATTAGCCTACTTGTTGGTTACAGCAATTAAAAAGTGCTTTCAGGATAGCCTTAGATTTTTCGAGGTGTACGTGAGCACATCACTTCAAGAATGTGAAAAACGCGATCCGAAAAGTGAGTTGCGATCGATCTCCGATGCTTTTTTTATCTTCATTTTTTTCTTGAATGCAAACAAAGGGAATCGAAATGTCGCTTTCATCCGCCCGACGGTGATCGATTGCTTCTGCAGCTTTTGTTTTTTTTTTCGTTGCTATACCTGTTGCTTTATTTATTATTTGCAATATGGCTGACCTATCAATGTGTCCGGAGGACCTGCTAAGCCTAACAATGTGAAGTTTTCGAGAGCTGCCTCCAGTACCGGTTAGATAGAGTCGAAGTAATGTAGTGTCGCACTTGGTATCCATCGACAGAAAGGGGTCGTATTCTAGAGGCACAGTGCGAGCTGTGGGAGGTGCGAGATGTGGGAAAGTGCATATAAGCACCCTAGATTGAAACGCATATGTAAAGTGTTTCTGGTCGCTTATGTCTCTCTTGCTCCCCTTCTTGCTGGATTGTCCCGGCTATTCGGAAGCCACAAGACTCATATCCCTTGTCCTTCCGTTGGTCATCGGTTTGTTCGAGTGACTAATAACGTCTTCATTCTTCTCCGTCTCAAACGGATGTAGTCCGCGTGCCCTCCCTGCTCTAGGGATACGGAGCGTGCTATTCTTTCCATTCGAGGCTTTTAGAAAAACTCTGACCATTGTGCTGACATCCATCTTGCTTACCTTCCCCGAATGATCCGCATCGGCTGATGCAGTCAGTAACCAGTAACCGTAATTGTTCAACGACTAACCACAATCCCGAGCAATTTGATCTTACATCATATTCCACTAGTTCCCTTTAGTTCCAATGAAGAACTGTTGCAGAACTTTACTCCAAAGCTCGGGCCGGTGAAATTTCTGGGTTCACCGGTATCGACAGTGCATACGAGCCACCGGAGGATGCTGAATTGGTGAGTTCTTGTGACAGCTGTCCGTGGACGTTTTTTGTGGCAGTCGAACCTCGCTCCTCCTTCAAACTTTGGGATAAGGTTAATCATATGATTAAGTATCGACCTAGGTCTGTTGTAATATAAGTCAGGAGCACTTGATTGTCGAATATAGCAGAATTCTTATTATGAAGTGTAAGAGAAAGGACTGATTCATGAGAATGTACCTCTTATTCAGGTAATCGATACGGAATCCGAAGGTCATAACGTGGATCGATGTGTGGAAACGGTACTCGAATTCTTGCATAGGCAGGGCATTATTCCAGATAAGGTCAGTACTTCCAAAGAAACAATAACTTCAGACTTTCCTCTTCCATGTTCTTATGTCGCTACTCCATCGAATATTTGTAACTAATCCGATTAGTGAAGCAGTTAGACGAAGTGGCTTGATTTTGCCCAGATATTTGGACTGTGGGCCACGCAAGTGGCGTGGTGGGGAATAACGCCTCCGTAGGAAGGACCGCACTCTTAATGGTTGTGAACTAGTGAGGGAAAATTGGTGCTATGCTGACTAACAAGCGATGGCTCGTCGAAATGCCAGCCTCCAATCTGTCTTCTCACGCATAAAAATCAATCGCAAAAACAATTTTTATTGCTCCCGGAAGATCTTAAGGATTTCTTTTGTCTGCTCTTCGTGACGGACGCTCAGCACCTGCACTCCGATGGTTTTCGAATGGTAAAACATGATTCTATAGGCTGAAGCAAAGTAATTCTAGGTTTCGATATTGGCTGTAGTCGGAACTGAGAGCTGGCCACATTCGTGTGTAGTCGGTCAGCTTTGTTGGTCTCACTATGGGCTCAGCTAGCTAGGCTTTTAATCGAAGTACACCTGAATATAAGTTTTTGAGCTAAAATTGTAAATTAAACCGTATGCCCCGTCTTACACTAGGGAAGCTTGGCTAGAAAGGTGGAATTGGTTACCCAAAGGTGGTCTGCCCAACTCATACCCTTATGCTATACACGCCGTAGCGGACTTGACATTTATACTTCCAGAAAATTGTGTGGCGATCAAAGGCTGCGTTCCGTCACCTGATCATTGCATCAGTCATACGGTATAACTGAAGGAATATAGTGCTCGAATGGACCCATACTAGGCTTACCTGTTTGATGTTTTCTTGATTGTAGCATTTCAGGCTATGCGACAATTATCAGGACCCCCGTTGAGAGAGTTATTCGTTGAGAGCGAAGAAGAAAAATTGGCATTACTGGAAGCAGCTAAAAACATGCCAACAATTGAGCTGGGACCTGTAGAGGTGCAATGGCTTCAGGTAAAACCATCCAATCGGAGAATCTTTTCAAATGAATCAGTCAAGTGCGAGGCGTGCTCATGACGCCCTTCCATTCAGAGCAATTGAGAAATGGCTCCGATAAATACTGCAGTTTTTGTAGCGAGCACTTATTTCAGGTACTGTCAGAGGGTTGGGCCACGCCTTTGCCTGGATTCATGCGGGAACGTCAGTATTTGCAAGCTCTTCATTTTGGACAGTTGCTCGATCTGAAGAAGAAGACTGTCTTTCCAGGAGAGAAAGTAAGCCTGAATGTAGTCTCAGGTTTTGTTTTGTATTACGGTGAAGCAGAGAAGTAGTTGTAAAAAAATGAAAGAGCTCAGTTATTAGATTCCTTTCACTGAAGATAAATTCCCTCTTGGGAGCCTGCGTATTCGAGAATAGAAGAGGCATTTGAATGCATGAAAGACTACCATAAATCACGGGAACCAGTTATTTTGTGGGGCGGGCCGTATTAGACGCGTGCGGCTGCGTTGCGGTGTCGCTTATGAGTCGATAAAAACTCATACAGCACGAAATGAAGGGCAGTTCTGGGGGCAGCTGGTGGTAGATGACTCTTTTCATCGGTAAAGTACCGTTTTTCGAAGTTCTGGTGTACACTTATGAATCTGAACATATGAAACTTGCGAAAGTTGGTCTGGGCCGCAACGCGACCGCACGCGTTATACTCATTAGTTCATGCATTAGAAGCTAAATTTGAAATCTCTTTCCATAGGTTTGACCAGTTTTCTTGGAGTGACGACTGTCTAGGGGCTAATTAGATCAACCAAAATTCAGCAGTTTTGACAATGCCCACAAAATTTTGTTGCAGGATGACGGTGCCGAAGATCCATGGCCAATGGACGAGCCAGTAAATCAGAGCGTACCGATTGTGCTACCGATTACAGACGAGCAGAAGCGGAGCATTACCAATGGTGAGCTCCAAATTACTGTAGCGCTCTTTGAAAGCGCATAGAACATATGATCTTACTGCTCAGCTCTCAAATTTTCGAGAAAANAAAAGTTTTAAATTTGTAAGGTATTTAGTAATCCACAGGAGACTCCCTTGCGATTTTTGATTGCACGGAAGTTTATGTATTCTGGTTGTATTCGTTGGATCTGACCTCTGGGTATGGAGTAAGTAATATGTAAGTTTTATAGGCGACAAGGTGTCGCCAAGTGTCGCGCTGACTCGCCATGGGGTTGTGCTAGCGGTACTGAACGACGGTGAGATCTTCGCCCATCGACGAGAAGAACGAGTCGCGAGGCAGTTTGCATTCTCTGATCCACGACATCCAGCAGTTGAGCAGGTTCTTTCAAGCGGACCGTGGTGCTTGGGAGGTGACTTGAAGGTGATTTTGATTTATCCTGCAACTTTTTTCTTATCACAATATGAGTATCTACATGTAATAGTGCGTGAAGCAATGAAGAGAATGATATCGGAGCAGCTATCAAGTATGCGCCACGCATATGACACATATTCAAGATTTGTGAAGGCGTTTGAATGCGCATTTTCATGCTGGAAAACTGAAGATAACCTTTTGACGGTGTTATTTGTGTTCTTTACAAGAAGGGCATCACTACCTTTACTTTTTAGAATGCAACAGTGTGATTTTAAGCACCCCTTTGGTAGGAACGTTTGGAATTGTATTCGACACGTAGTTTTCAGGTATTGGAGCGGATCACATTTGATGATGGTCTGAACAGCTTTAGGAAAACACCAAGCGAGTTGCGAAAAATATTTGAAGAAAAAGGTAGGTTCTTTATTTTTTATCGTAACAATAGAGGATGCTTCGATTTGTGAATGAAAGAAATTAAAGTGGGGGCGAAGCGCCTAAACATGAGGAAAACCCGAACTAGTGTCTGAAATAAGGCTGTTGTATTTTTGGGAAATGATTAAGGGAGATGTACGAGAAAAACGACGGAAACTGGTTGTTGAACACGTTCTCACTAGCTAGTATCGAACAATATCCAGCGATATCATCTGTTTTTACCCGTTCGCTGTACTCTTACTGCTGCAATTGCGCTCTTATCGTGTTCATTTGCTAGCTTTCAGTGTTCAGACAACACGTCCTTTTGGGGGCGGGATGGAATTTGGAGACGTTAGAGCATCCACTGTCTGTTGAATGTTTTGCTATATCTTTTTCTCAGTGCGAATCGCTCAACATCGTCTTCTTTCCTGTCCCTCTCCACTATGCTTATGTTATATCTGATCATCCCATCCCGAGCAATCTGCTGCCCTTAAACTGTGAATTAAAACGAGAGATTCCGACTGATTTATGGACTTTCTCTTGGGTAGTGAAGTCGATGGAACCGTTCTGCACTGAAGTTCGATTCTGAAAGACTTGTGACGGAGCACTACCCAATTCCACTTGAATTCAGGCGCTGACGCAGTGTTCGTATTTCAACTTCGTAATCCGATCCACAATGGTCATGCACTGCTCATGCGCGATACGAGAGAAAAGCTACTTAAGAAGTACCGTAATCCGATGTTACTTCTTCACCCATTAGGTAGGTTTAGTATTATCTTAGTGTTTATTTGTTTATTTCCTCGAGCTCCTCCTCAACCTCAGGTGGATGGACAAAGGACGACGATGTACCGCTGTCGGTGCGAATGCGTCAACATGAGGCAGTGATTGCAGAGGGTGTCTTGGACCCATCATGGACAGTTCTGTCCATATTCCCATCACCGATGCTCTACGCAGGACCTACTGAAGTACAATGGCATGCAAGGTAAGGGAAGTACATATATCCCGAAAAGATTACCGATGACATTGGTCAGTAGACTACGCATAAGGTCGAGAGTATTCATAGGACGAGTCTATAATGTTCCTCGAGCTTTATTAAAATCTCTCGACTCTTATTCCGTCTCTGGTGTCGGCTTCCAACTTTAAAGCCCGAGTTCCAACAAGTCTCAGCCCCATGTGGGAATCCACCTGAACAGTTCGAGTCCTCTTTGATTACAGAGCCCGGATTGCTGCCGGTGTGCACACCTACATCGTTGGAAGGGACCCAGCTGGCATCCAACATCCGGACACCGGTGATTTCCTCTATGAGCCAACGCATGGTGCAAAGGTGCTTACTTCTCCTTTTTTTTCTTATCTGAGAGCCATTTCAGTGAAGACAGTGAGGGTCCCTAGAGACAATTTTTTCTTCATTTTCAATGGATTTGGGTCTTTGACTCCAGAACAAACTCTTGCTGAATTGAGCCGTAAACTATCCATCAGTGCAAAACAGACCAGTTCGAACCGCTGTTCCAACCGTTTCCACAGTTATTTCTGCATCGTTTTGGAAACCAAAAAACGTCATAATCTCAGTATAGCCGCGCTTTTCCTGCTTTCTCGAAGTAAGGTGAATGTTTTACTTGAAAAGATGGAAGGATCAGAAATTGCCACACCGCTTGTCGCTTTGAAATCAAGCCATCATATATGAGCACCATGGTCTCACCTCCTTTCCCATCCTTAAATTTTCAGGCGTTCACGGCGACCCAGAGTAATATTGACCGCGACGGTTTTTCAAGGCTTTGGCATTTTTTCAGCCAATTTTTTAAACGAGCTCTACTCATTTTTGAGAAGGGGCGTATTCGCACTAACTGAGGAGGTCAAAGGATCAAACTATCTTCTAGACCAATTTTATAACACCTCGAGGTCATTTTGAGAAGAGAAGGCAGAAGGTAAGAGGTCAGAGGATCATCAGTCATTGCCGTCTTACTGCAGCTTAGGAGATACAATGTTCCCTATAAGTTCGCATTTTCATTAATCGTATCTTGACAGCAATACCACATGTGTTCTACATTAATTTATCAAAAATTTACTGAAAAATTCAAAACTTAAAGATAATCTAATCGAATATTCTAGGTGCTCTCAATGGCGCCTGGTTTGAGTCAATTGCATATTCTGCCGTTCCGTGTTGCTGCATATGACAAAAAGGTAAGGACAGGTAGAAGCTCACAGCAAGTTTGACGGCGATTCTTCTGAGGTCTTTACTGTCTTCCTTTGAGATGCCCATATTTATTGCTTTAGGCCGGGAAAATGGCATTCTTCGATCCGTCAAGGAAAGAGGATTTCGATTTTATCAGCGGTACTCGAATGCGAGGATTGGCGAGGTTAGCTGTACTTACTTTTTTGATCAGTTTGAGTAGCAGAAATGGTTCTGTTAGTTTTTTTAATAACTAATTGACCGGGTTGAAGACACAATTCACGATCATTTTGGGTAATCCAGATTATGATGAAAAATGGAAGACAAGAGCGAAACTAGTGCGACTGAGGTGAAGAAACTGCGTGCATCGGTGTTTCCAAAGTGAAAAAAGGCTTCGAAAAACCGTTAAAAAGGGGGCTGGACGAGAGTGAAACCAGAAAAATGAAGAAGAGTGGGGCGTCCGGACGAGTTAAACAGTGTGTTTCACTACGCGCATGTGGGTCCCGGTGCGAATAACGGACAATGGTAAGCAAGAATTCACTCACTTACAAGCATAAATAAACATAATAAATAAACAAAAAACCCGTAGTAACAGCAAACGTAGCTCACCTTTCTCAGCCTCTAGGAGTAGGAAATCAAATAAGGGATCGCGGCAGCAAAAAGAAAAACGCGCTGAGTATTCCTACAGAAAGAACTCCGTAACCTTTTTTATCGTGAACCGTGCCTTTCATCTCGAAGTCAACCATCTGTGGGAACTTGGAAGTGTTTACTGGTCTGTGGGTAGCTCTCCATCCACTTTGCACAAGTACGGCTGACAAAATCACTCCTGAAACCATTTCAGAAGTGGTGCCACGCCTCCAGACGGTTTCATGGCTCCATCTGCATGGCAAATCCTCGCCGATTACTACAAATCAATAGCAAAGAAGTAATGACTCTCGATCGATCAATTGGTTACACCCTAACATATCATGTTATTGAATCCTGGTGTGCTTTCCCTAGCCTCGACCTCTTTCCAACATATTCCTGATATTAACATTCATCAATCTGTAAGATTCCGATTTATGTATATTGTCATTCCCGAATCCCTCCCAACTAATCTATATGCATTCCTCAAATATGCGCTATCTCTTGATGGAATTTTCGGAAGCATTGAAACTCGAAAAGCGAAGTAGTGAGGGCGTGGCTCCCTCTGGCAGCCCCGCCCACGTTGACGTAAAACGTCTATTGGGTCCGTAGCTTTGATTTTCGCGCTTTTATAGGATCCCTTTATCTTTTTCGAATTTCTTGTGTACTGTACGTATCCTTGAGCGTCCTTCGGTAATGTGATACACATATTTATTGATTTGTATATTATACGAGAGATCATGATGTACTAAATGAACTATGAGACGAGTTTCGTGGACTTTTGTCATAGCCAATTTTCGTACCATAGCGAGCTATGCATCTGATGGTGAAGAAAGAATTTATTGATTAGTCAAAACCACTCGAAAAATTGATCGGAGATCATCAATGAATGAACGATCACATTGCGATCTTCCCTCATCTCACTGCGATCTTCCCTCGGAAAGGACCTCCCACATTGCTTCTGGAAAACCAACAATAGTTTTGAGAAGGATCTCTATGAGATGAGTAGATTAGGACAAATCATGTTCTGTACACAGGAACTGGAATCAGAGCTTAAGAAACAAGGATCACGTGCGTTGGGTCCGAGTAGCGTGCAATGGCGAGACAGCTAGCTAGTACGGTTAATCAAACTGCGTGAGGCGAGACAACTAACTAGGAATATGAATAAGTCACCCTCAAATACACATCTCAGAAACAGCTAGTGCATAAGACTATTTGGATTGGCGACTTCAAGGTCGAGGGCTGGAGCACTTTGAAGGCTTAACTCCTGCAAAGCGATGTACGTTGTGCAAAACTAGTATTTATGTTCATTGTTTCGGAAGCACACTGGGTAAGTGTCTCGGCTTCGTCTGCATGAGGAAGAGATCGCCTCCTCAGTGTGGATACTGTCTTGCAAAATTGTTTCCAAATCTTCTGTCTACATTCCAAGAAGCTCAGAAAGAAGAAATTAAGGTGAGGATTGAATCGTTGAAGTGGCTAGAAACAGAAGTTTTCTATCCGTCACTTTTTCAGACATGCGAAAGACTACGTAAAATGTGTCTCCTCATCTATAACTTTAGAAAAACCGAAACATCGACATCGCACGTACTGAACCCCTCCGCTATCCACTGCGCTTTCGAAACACATGTTCCTTAACTCTAATGCATTCGACCAACATTCGCCTTTTTGCCATCAAACATCCTTCCCACCCGTTTGCAAAAGTTCTTGGCATACCGTTTTTCGCAGGCAGCCGGCGTCAGGCATTCCGTTTACTTCAGCTCACCTGACTACCTGGGGGACCATCAAGAGCTTTAACTCATTTGGGTGGTTTGTACCATGGCCGGCGGACACAGGCTCATTTGAGTCGAACTTGGCTGATACGGCCGACCATATATGCATTATAAGGATTTCCGATCAAAGCTGGAACAGGTGGAGCTGATGTGCATGTGACAACGCTTCGTTGAAGCTACACTGGACCATACGACAAAAATTTGTCAAAATACTGTGATGGAGCCATAGGTGAAGTGGCAGGGTAGAAGGGAGAGCGAAAATGATGTTCCGATGGTGTTTCAGCTTTTCCTTAGCGAACAATACGTTCAATATTCACTGTCACTTATCGCTATACAAACCTCCCCCAAAGCCTCATTAAACATTTCTCTGCCCCATCTGTCTGAATGATTTTCTAGTGATAAGAGCAGCTTGCGATACGGTACAGATCCAGTCCGATGGCCGGCGGGCACTTCGGCTCATTCAGGCCGAACCCACACCCCTCCCTTGAAGGGAGGGGTGTGGGTTCGGCCTGAATGAGCCGAAGTGCCCGCCGGCCATCGGACGCCGGGTACCTGGGCAAGCTGAGTTTGGCGTGGCAATCCACAGCCTTCGTGAATTCCTATTTGGTCGGAGTGCACATCTTTGCTGGGTAACTGTAGTGCAGCGGTTACGATTCGTGGCTCTCGTCTGCGAAGTCAAGGGTTCGAAATCTGGATGTGATGATGTGTTCGGTTGTTCTTGATCATCTTTTGGTGAGGTGGTTTTTAGTAAGCTTTCTGGAAAATATGTCCAGAAAGATGAGCAAAAGATTCTTACAAAAGAAAAGATACTGATCTAAACCAGCTGTAATTGAGGGGCTCGGCTCAACAGCGGGAAGCTGTACTCAGTGCCTCTCCGCCCAATACTTTCCGTAAACATAGCTATAACATAGCAATAGCTTCAGGAAACATACCTGTGCTCAAATCTAAGAGAACAAGAATTTTTGAAAAGTTTCATATGAGCCCGTCCATAAATTTTCCAATATAAGCGATTTTCCTATAAACGTGTACAGAAACACTTGATCAAAACTCCCCCCTACATGGGAATTGCCCAAGAAAGCCGTCGTCTAATGGTTACAGAAAGTATTGGGCGGAAAGGTACTGGGTACAATTCTTAACGGCAGACGTGTGACACACTGGAAATCGCCCTAAAGGACAAATTCGTAAATTACAAAAAAGCAAAAATGCTTCTACGGTGTAAAGGAAACAGTAAGAAGCAGCAGGAAGCATTGTTGGAAAATTAGCAGTAAAAATGGCATCTTGGCAAGTCGCTATCGTTGCGTCTAGCGCAAAGCGACCGCCTAAAGTGGGTTTTTATTATGTTTTTAACGACGGTGGTCTCGCCAAAAGGGGCATGCGTGGTCTCGACTCACCGGCAGGGTCCATGCGTGGAGAATTAACTAAGCGTTGAGCGTTGAGCCGAGCCCCTTAGTTGCACCTGGTCAGAAAAGTATCTTTTTTTTTTGTGAGAATCTTTTGCTCTTCTCACACAAACCTTTCTGGGCATATTTTGCTGAGAGCTTGTTAAAACTACCTAACCAAAACTTGATCAAGAACAACCGAACACAGCATCACATCCAGAATTCGAACTCTTGAGTTCGCAGACATGGGCCGGGAATCGTAACCGCTACACTCCAATCACCCAGCAAAGATGCTGCACTCCGACCATATAGGAATTCACGGAGGCTGTGGATTGCCACAGCAAACTAGGCTTGCCCATGAACCCGGCGTCCGATGGCTGGCGTGCACTTCGACTCATTCGGGCCGAACCCACACCCCTCCCTTGGAGGGAGTGTGGGTTCGGCCCTGCTGAGCCGAACTGCCCGCCGGCCATCGGACTGAATCTGCACCGTATCGCAAGCTGCTCTTATCACTAGAAAATCATTCAGACAGATGGGGCAGAGAAATGTTTAATGGGGCTTTGGGGGAGGTTTGTATAGCGATAAGTGGCAGTGAATATTGAACGTATTGTTCGCTAAGGAAAAGCTGAAACACCATCGGAACATCGTTTTCGCTCTCCCTTCTCCTATTCATGTCGGGGATGTCAGAGGGAATGTCTTTCGAGCTAGTTAGAGCTGCTGTACCAAATGACTGTTCAAGTGTCGAAGTGATAGAGTCAGCGCTCTTCCCACGAGAAGAACCTACATCTTTTGAAGCAAAAGGAGCGTTGGTTGCAAGGCGATCTTGGTGAATCGAAGGGGACAGAGCCACTAGTGAGAAACTCGAAAGTGCTTAAAGTGCTGTACGACTCTACCTTTGCCGATTTCTGGAAGCAGAAAGCTTCGAACCACGGTCAAAACGGTAATGGTTTATTAGAAATTCTGCAAAACTCGAGCAAAAATCGGTGCAAAGATCAGAACTGAATCGCAGTCTTGCCAGAGACGGGTTCCCATCTCTATCCGCTACGCCATCGGCACATAATAGCCAAAAGAAATGGACGACTCGTTGAATCACAGCCGGGTTTATTTTTCGAGCCGGGAGCCATTGATATTCGTTTGCTACAGTCGATCACGCTCATGTCGAAGTATACGCACTTCTTCCGAGGTCCCGACCACGACCATCACCTTTTACATGTTTTCCCTAAAGGTGAATCCCCAATCAGAGACCTTGAGGGCTGTTTTCATTTCCATTCACGAGAGACCGAAAGCTGGGAGCAAAAACGAAAACGTTAGGAATGGAATCCGATAAAGTAGGCTTATACAAAAGTTACAAAGTTTTTATACCATCACTTTTGAAAAAGGGCGTTGGAGGGTGTGTTGCAGTAGGATCGAAATCGTCGCGTCGCGGCGAGAGAGACGCTGCGCGCGAAGGAGAGTAGCAGAATGTAGCAGCAATTAAGAAATTCGGGAACATAAGAACTAACAGTAGAATCGTGGTAATAATCGCATACCGACTGAGCTGTATGAAGAACACTAGACTGTTATTATGAGGCGAATGGTCCGCGACCGCCGCGCGCGTCGAATCGATCACACAAAACCGATCCTAGTTAGTAAGGCCGTCCCTCGTGATTCTCATTGTCACATTTGGGTACATATCCATAAAATGACTCACTGTTTAGAAATACCCATATGGGAGAACATCACATGCACTTCCTTTTTTAAATGTCCCCACTTTTGCTTCTTCCATTTTTGGTCCGTTTTTGGGTTGGCCTCCTTTTTAAAGAAGTTAATTCGGGGAGAAGTGAATGATAAAGCTATTCAGTCAAATTTCTGGCGAAGACGACAAGCGAGTTTACGATTTCGAGACATTTACGACTTCCGATAGCTCCCAAATGATCCTCTGAAAACTGCCAATAAAAATCGGCCTACGACTGATTAATCGTACATCTGCTGCAACGTTTTTTACTTGCATGCCCACGGTTGTACGAATCCACTGAAACCTCTGAACCCCAAGTTCCGAATTCATCCTGAGAGTCATTCCTAGGTGAGCTGCGTGTCGTGTTAGCCGAACGTCGGCTTAATTCGTTTTCCTCACGAAAACTAATTCTCTAATTACCGGCTCAAAGTGCTGGTCTTGAA